TATATCCTCTGATTGGAAGGCGCCGCATTTTCAGATGTCATTTCTCCCCCCACCCCAGATAAACGTACTGATTCAATGTGCTTGTAATCAAAATCCCAGTAGGAGTTGATATTCTGTAGAATTTGACGATCGGATGCTACCATTTCCGAAAGCACAAAGCAACCCTTGAACCGCACATTGTGTGCCGCGTGCTTTTTACATAGTAACTTTTTTCCTCCTCCTGGAAACCCCACGAGGCTGGTCTACATTATTTCTATTTTCGAGAAGAAACTTCAGGGCATTTGCTGCCCTTCATCATCATCTTCATCATCTTCTTCTTCTTCTTCTTCTTCTTCTTCTTCTTTAGTTTTATTTATTTATTTTGAGGGAGAGAGAGTGGGGAAAGGGCAGAGAGAGAGAGGGAGAGAAAGAATCCCAAGCAGGCTCCGCGCTGTCAGCAAAGAACCCGACGTGGGGCTCGATCTCACGTACGTGAGATCATGACCTGAGCTGAAATCAAGAGTCAGATGCTTAACCAACTGAGCCACCCAGGAGCTCAAAGCACGCGCTCTTAACTACTTCTCTATGGTGTCTCTAAGAACAGTCATGATACCCTTGGGGACGGACAAGGTGGGAGGCCTTGCTCTCCCAGATACCGGGAAAGTTGAACAACGGGAAAGTCAGGGCATGGGCACAGGGACCCAGCCCACGGAACAGAACACAGAAACAACCCAGCAAGGACCTCCGAGCCACCTCTGTGGAAGCATGCCTGCAGAAATGGAGGGAAAGACGGGCTTCTTCACAGGTGAGGCTGGGGAAACTGGTTGTTCATGTGGGAAACATGAAATTGGGTCTCCCCTGATACAAAACCCAGTTCCAGGTTGATAAAGCCCTAAACGTGAAAGGCAGATCTTGAGAGATCTCTGAGCTGACAAGAAAATCGCTCCCTGCCTCAAGGTCAAGGAAGGGTTCTTTTTTTTTTTTTTTTTTTAATTTTCTTTAACATTTATTTATTTTTGAGACAGAGAGAGAGCATGAACAGGGCAGGGTCAGAGAAAGAGGGAGACACAGAATCCGAAACAGGCTCCAGGCTCTGAGCTGTCAGCACAGAGCCGGACGCGGGGCTCGAACCCACGGACCGCGAGATCGTGACCTGAGCCGAAGTCGGACGCTCAACCGACTGAGCCACCCAGGCGCCCCAAGGAAGGGTTCTTGAACAGACATAAAAAGCACTAGCCATAAAAAGAAAAACATTTATAAATTCTACCACATTACGAACATCCATTCATCAGGGGCACCAGGGTGGCTCAGTTAAGCGTCCAACTCTTGATTTGGGCTCAGGTCATGATCTCGTGGTTTGTGAGTTTGAGTCCTGCATCGGGCTCAGCCCTGGCTGCTCAGATTCTGCTTGAAATTCTCTCTCTCTAGGGGCGCCTGGGTGGCGCAGTCGGTTAAGCGTCCGACTTCAGCCAGGTCACGATCTCGCGGTCCGTGAGTTCGAGCCCCGCGTCAGGCTCTGGGCTGATGGCTCAGAGCCTGGAGCCTGTTTCCGATTCTGTGTCTCCCTCTCTCTCTGCCCCTCCCCCGTTCATGCTCTGTCTCTCTCTGTCCCAAAAATAAATAAATGTTGAAAAAAAAAATTAAAAAAAAAAAAATTCTCTCTCTCTCTCTCTCAGCCCCTCCCCTGCTCATGCTCTCCCTCTCTCTCTCAAAATAAACAAATAAACTTAAAAAAAAATCCATTCATCAACAAAACGCTGTAAAGAGAACGAAAGGTCAAGCCACAGAGTGGGAGAAAAGATTTCAAATCTATATACAAGATTTCACATCTATATCCCCATCAAAGGACTAGTTTTTAGGATATAAATATCACTGGGACACCTAGGTGGCTCAGTCGGTTGAGTGTCCCACTCTTGATTTTGGCTCAGGTCATGATCCCAGGGTCATGGGATCGAGCCCCGCCATCAGGCTCCACTGAGTGTGGAGCCTGCAATTCTTTCTCTTTCCTTTTGCCCGTCTCCCCTGCTCATGTTCTCTCTCTAAAATAAATCATTAAGAAGCTTCTTAACCCCTCAGGGATGTGGGTTTGAGTCCCACATTGGGAGTAGAGATTACTTAAAAATAGGTAGATAGATACATACATACATAGAAGCCTCTTAACCCCCAAATCCCACAACACCATTTTACCAAAAATAGGCAAAACATCTGAACAGGAACTTTACAAAAGAGGAACGCAAACAACCTCTAAACATATACAAACGTGTTCAATCTCCGCAGTAAATCAGGAAAATGAAAATTCAGGCCACATGGAGACACCACCTTTCACCACCCCCCCATTTGTAAAGATAAAAACGTTTGATAACAACCAAACATAAACAAGAATGCAGAGCAACAGAAACTCCCAAACATGGCTTAATGAGAGAGAAAACAGAAACCGCACTTTGAAAAAAAGAGTTGGTCCAAATCTATGAGCTGAAGCCATGCATTTTCTGACAGGTGGAGACATGTACAGTCGTGGGTCAGAAATCAGGTCCGGAGGTGTTCACTGCAGACCTCCTCCCCAGAGGTCCAAAGTGGAAACAACCGAAATGTTGATGGAAGGTACTGGGAGAAGCAAACTGGGCATCGCCATCCAGGGGAGTCCCCCACGGCAATGGAAATGAATGCAACACAGCTTCGCCCAGTAGCGGGGGCCATGCTGACAAAATGCGGCATGGACGGAGGGAAGCGAGAACATAAAATGCGTCCGTCCAAGCCCAGAGACAGGCAAGACCGAAACCACGCTGTTCAGGGCTGCAGTCACAGGCGGTGAAATTGTACAGGAAATCCACATGACCGCAGTTAAGAGGACAGCGCCCCCAGGCGGCAGGGCAGGGGTTGTGATGGGGCTGGGGACGTGCTCAAAGGGCTTTTGGACTTGGCTGGTGGTTACGTGGGTGTTTGCTTTGTAATTATTCACTGAACTGGTTTATGTACTTTTCTAAATGTTCTATTTCACCATAAGAAAAAAGAGCAAAAATGTCTAGGATAAAATATATAAAAATGTTTTAAAAAGTTATCTTTGGGGAGCCTGAGTGGCTTAGTCAGTTAAGCGTCTGACTTCAGCTCAGGTCGTGATCTCACGGTTTGTGAGTTCGAGCCCCGCGTCCGGCTCTGTACTGACAGCTCAGAGCCTGGAGCCTGCTTCGGATTCTGTGTCTCCCTCTCTCTCTGCCCCTCCCCTGCTCATGCTCTGTCTCTCTCTGTCTCAAAAATAAATAAAAACATTAAAAAAATTCTTTTTTAAAAACCAGTT